AATTGTAAAAATGTTTTCATTAAGGGTTAATTAATATAAAGAATATCAAGCAAGAATGGGAAAACATTTCACTTTCAAAACTACAGCAATTGGTCCTCCTCAGTTCTGAAATGCTTACAGAGTTTGTTAAAAGAAGAGGTGATGAAACACAGTGTTAAACATACCTTTGTCCTAACTTTTTTGGAATGTGTTGTCAGAATCGAATTCAAATGGGCACATATTTTTCAAAAAACAATAAAATTTCTCAGTTTCAACATGTGATATGTTGTCTTTGTGGTATTTTCCTTTAAAATGTGGTTTACATTATTTACATATCATTGCATCCTATTTTGATTTACATTCTGCACAGCGTCCCAACTTTTTTGGAAATGGGGTTGTAAATGAGCATAGTATCAGCCCGATACCCAATACCAGTATTGGCATCAGTGCAAGACTCTTGTCCACTATTCAAAACCATGTATGACCCTTTTTTGTAGGTACCCACATGCATGAATATGTGGAAACATCAGCAGAAATAAAAAATGTGTGCTAATTAATAATTATTAACATAACTTCTTTCTCTGTATGTCTACATGAATATTTAGGCATTAAGGGAGATGTGCAGTCTGAATTACACTACTAGCCAAACTAAAACAACTGCAGATATGCCTTGTTAAATAGTACAATAATATAATGTAGTATTTCAGACTATGCCTTCAACGCATATTTATGCTTTGAGAAGAGATAAATATGATTGTAGGAGAGAACTTGGGCTGGAGTTCTTTGATCAACAGAGGTAGGACTAAGAGATAGGACTGAGGAACATGGAGGATATGGGTGGTGGAGTGCAAAAACTTTATCGCAGGATAAAGATATTGCAAGATAAATAAAAACACAAACAAAAACAGAATGTAGATGTGGAATTTTATAAAACAGAGTGGAAGGAGGAGGAGGAGGAGGCATGATTGGACAAATTTTTAATGGAAAGGAATTTTCCTTATTATCACACTCTTACTGTTGATAAAGTGTCGGCATAATTGACATTGGCAGTGACACTGTGTGTGGACGTCTGTGTGTTCTTAGGTAGTGAAATAATAATTCAGTAACTCACTGCAGTTTCTCCAGTTTACAGTGTGGATCCTCCAGTAGGTCAGAGAGCAGCTTCACTCCTGAATCTCCTACTTTTTTGTCATTTAGATTCAGCTCACTTAATTGTGAAGAGTCACAGATCCTACCAAGACAAATTTTAAAGGTTTTATATTTATTTTATCTCCAATTTTTGTTCACGAATGTGTAGCAACTTACTGTAGTTTCCCCAGTTTACAGTGTGGATCCTTCAGCCATTCAGAAAGCAGCTGCACTGCTGACTCTCCTGGTTTATTGTAGTTCAGATTCAGCTCTTTCAGGTGTGAGGGGTTTGATTTCATAGCTGAAGCCAGAGCAGCACAGCCTTCCTCTGCAATACTGCAGAATTCCAGCCTGCAGAGAGAAGAAAAAACTGACAGCTCAATACATGTACAGACACATGTAGTAAAACGTTAAACACAGCTCAAAAACATGCTTTTTAAATAGTTAACTCATTTTAGACTGCTAAGTATACTGCTTGGTATTTGTATCAAATGTATAATTGCAGACTTTTTTTCATGTTATTTGTGTCCAACATATTTTTTTGTCATAAGCACAAATGTCCTCTATACTCTTGACTCTTCTGTGTAAAACAATTTGTTGGGTTCTATGTATTAGCTTACATCACAACATAGTTTAATTCTATCACATTCCTATATACTAAAACAAGCTGAAGAAAGGACTGTCATAATAACAGGATACTTAAAGCCACAAAACATGCCTGCACTAATGTAGCTAACTAATGATGTTTGAACAGCGCAATTAGCTAATATAGATGATTTGATGATATTTAAAATTGTGATACTGTCAAATTTCTGTTTTACATCTATCTAATAAACTGTGAAATTTTGAGCAGGGAGCTGTTAGCATGCTGGCTAGTGTAACAGAGTCTCAAAGTATTATTATCAGCAGAACTAACCCAATGCAGCCAGCTGCTTTATCTATTAAGATCAAGTCCCAAATAATACATGCACTAGTGGACACAGGGGGCACTTATTCCCTCATAAGGTATTCTCTTTGGGAGAAGTTAAAGGCACTTAGGGAGGTCTGGAAACCTTCAGGAGGACAGACATTTTCTTTGGCCAATGGGGCAGTGCAGAGTGCTTCAGGCATGGTCAAATGGGACTGCAGGTTCCATGATTGTGAGCTGAACCTGAAATTGTACATGCTGGACAACAGAGACCTAGCATTTCCATTGGTTCTGGGCATGGACTTCCTACACAGTCCTTGGTTGACCATTAACTTCCAGCAGTCCTCCTACCAGTTACCAGATGCAGAGGGTGTCTCCCAGGTTTATCCATTTAGCAAAACCCCAACCTCATTACAACTGTATATGGCCCAGCCATTCCCAGGTGTTTCTCAACAAACCCTACAACATCTTGACCTTTTGAGAGACAGAGCTGATGTAGACACTTTGGACAAATAGAGGCTCCATGACTTATTGCTTCAATGGTCACAGGTGTGTACTGATGTGCTGGGTTTCACTTCCAGACTCCAGCATCAGATTAACACAAACGAGCAGTGTCGGATGGAAAACATGTTGCAAGACCTGAGAGGAAAGTGCTCCTTTGTCTATATAGATGACATTGTGATCTACTCTCCAGATGTGGAACAACATCTTTCCCATCTCAGTGCAGTCTTCTCAAGGTTACAGCAGGCTGGACTAACCCTCAACCTCAAAAAGTGCAACCTCATTCAGCCTTCATTGACCTTCTTGAGGCATGTGGTATCAGAGAAAGGCGCCCAGACAAGTCCTGACAAAATCCAGGCCATCCGAGGCTATCCTGAGCCGAAAAACATCAAAGATATTAAGAGGTTCCTTGGCATGGCAGGATGGTATCATCAATTTATTTCCCAGTTTTCCCAGCGAGCTGCACCTCTTCATCAGTTGGAGAAGGGAGCTGTTTGGAATTGGGGCAGTGCGTGTCAAAATGCCTTTAGGGAGATTAAGGAAGCCCTTCAATCTGCCCCTATCTTGCAAGCCCCTGATTTTTCAAAACCCTTTGTGGTTCAGACCGATGCCAGTGAAAATGGAGTAGGGGCAGTTCTCACACAAAAGGTCCAGGACCAAGAGCAAATCATTGCTTATGCTTCTTAGTTGTTTAATCCTGCTGAACAGGCCTATTCAGTGTCTGAGAAGGAGTGTTTGGCAGTGGTATGGGCAGTTGAGAAGTAGAGGCAATACCTGGAGGGACATAAGTTCACTGTGGTCATGGATCATGCTGCCCTTATCTGGGTTTTCAATCAGCCAAGGCCATTGTCACGACTGACCAGATGGGCCATTAAGTTACAGAGCTTTGACTTTAAGGTTGTGTACCATAAAGGTCAGTGTAGTGTGGTCCCTTTAACCCACCTCCCAGTGTCATGGGAAGAAATTGGCACTAGCCAGCTGGTGGACCCAGAGATTCAGCAACTAATTCAGGAAGTCAAGCAAGACCAAAAAGAACCTAATCGAATGCATTATGTGCTCCAGAATGGCTTTCTCTTTCAGAGAATCCCAGAGAAGGCTGGTGGACACAGGGACCAACTGGTGATCTCTTCAAGTCTTTACCCTGCTATCCTCGAGTAAGCCCATGACAACCCACTCAGTGGACACCTAGGCAAAATGAAGACCCTGATGAGGATACTCAATGTGGCTTATTGGCCAGTCATCAAAAAGGATGTCTGGGAGTACTGCAAACAGTGCCAGGTTTGCCAGAAGAACAAGCAGAGAATATTCAAGCTCAGCGGGCTTTTGCAGTCCACTGCTCCTGTAGGGCCTGGTTACATGTGGGGTCTGGATTTTATGGGCCCTTTCCCTCGCAGTCCTCGGCAAAATGAGTATCTCCTGGTCATGGTCAATTACCGTAGCAGGTGGGTTGAATTGTTTCCACTCCGTACAGCTAAGACACCACAGTTTGTGTAAATTCTTATCAGAGACCTTTTTACACATTGGGGAACTCCAAAGTACCTAGTTTCGGGTCGAGGACCACAGTTTACTTCCCAGTTGATCCATGAAGTTTGCAAGCAATGGGGAGCAACATAAAAATTGACAACAGCTTACCATCCATGAACCAACCTCACCGAATGCAATAACAAGGTACTGAAATCCATTATCTTATGTGGGATCGATGGCTACCATAATTCAGTTTTGCAATCAATTCTGCATGGCATGAGAGCACAGGATTCACCCCTGCAGAGCTTGCAGTGGGAAGAAAACTCAAAGGACCTTTGGAGAACGTTATCAAACATGCTCCTGACCCTGAGCAGAGTGCTTATGTCAAAATTCAACACCTGCAGCAAATGTGGAACATGGTAAAGGAGCATGTTCAACAGAGTCAGCTCAGGCAGGCCTGATATTACAATGCCAGGAAAAAGGAGGAAGAGTTCAAAGAAGGTGAATTAGTGTGGGTCAGGGCTCATCCCATATCTTGGGCTGATGCTGGACTTTCTGCCAAGCTAGCTGCCAAATGGAAAGGTCCAGCCAGAATTGTTCATCAACAAAGTTAATTGAAGGACAAAGACTCTCCAGGGGTAACAGATACAATTCACATAGAGATCATCAAACGTTATTATGGCCCAGCATCTTTGTTGTATTTCTTATTTGCTTGTCCATTTGTTCAGTATAGTCCAAGACGTTCTCGTTTCCTATGTTTTTTATAAACTCAGTAGGAAAAGGGTCCTGCTGGGTATTATATTAGGTGCTAGCAGTAGTGTATCTATCAGGCTAACAGCTCCACAATTCACAGCATATCCCTCTGACCCAAGTTTAGAGGACAAAAAACTTAAATCTGAGAGGCTGTGTTAAAGAAGTGTGATAAAATGGTTACTTTACTGGTATTCAGGAGAGAAAAGTCTGTCAGATTACTGTCAAAATTTTCAGAAGATGTTTCTATGGGAACATGGTGACCAAAAGTACATTCTACTTGAACCTGTTTATAAAAAAATTCATTTTACATTTTACCTTTGCATTAGGATGTGATCTGCTCTCCTCTACATTGAAAACAAGCAAAAATAAAACCAAGCTGAATAGAAATATAAAATTAAAAAAGTCAATTGAAAGATATTTTTGAACTGTTACACCACTACTGTAACTGTGACCGTGTCTGTACAATCACTGAAGAGAACACCATGTACATGGAGGTATTGACAACAATGTATTTGTGCACATGTTTACATTTATATATTTGTGTCACTTATTTAAATACACACACAAAAATTGTATGAAAAGAGCTGCTAAATTAGATATGTTTCTGTGTAAGAATATGATAAGTCAGTAACTCACTGTAGTTTCTCCAGTTTACAGTGTGGATCCTTCAGTAGATCAGAGAGCAGCTTCACTCCTAACTCTCCTGGTTTATTGTAGATTTAGATTCAGCTCTCTTAGGTGTGAGGGGTTTGATTTCAGAGCTAAAACCAGAGCAGCACAGCCTTCCTCTGTAATCCTGCAGAATTCAAGCCTGCAGAGAAAAAAAATATTGATCACACTTCACAAACAACAGCTCAACAAATGCATTCTTGGCCACCACCACTATACTTAACACCCCCACCCCCAAAATAAGGAAGTGTGGATTAGTTGATTTCCAAGAATTTCAAGATCATTTAACACTGATTCACATCAAAATAAAACTGTGAACTAAATTTGTGCACATCCAAGAGCACATCTCTATTAATTCTGGACTCCTAACTACTACTACTATTACTACTACTACTACTACTACTACTACTACTATTAATATTAGTAGTATAATAATTTTGTAGGTAGTTTGACCAGAGGATGATGGGTCCCCCCATGTGAGCCTTGGTTCCTCCCAAGGTTTCTTCCTCAGCTCTGAGGGAGTTTTTCCTTGCCACGGTCGCCTCTGGCTTGCTCACTTGGAGGATTTACATTTCATGTTAAAACTTTGTCTTTAATGGATTTCTGTGAAGCTGTTTTGTGACAGCATCAGTTGTAAAAAGCGCTATACAAATAAATTTGACTTGACTTGACTTAATCACCTCAAGTGGTATAGACAGATAAGATGCATATAGATGTACAGATACACAGTTAGATAGATAGATAGATAGATAGATAGATAGATAGATCTGTTTATTAATCCCAGAGAGAAAGTGATCTGTTACAGCAACACAAAGTACAATAAAGGGCAAAACAAGAGCCAAAGTATTGCTGTACACTAGTATACAGATGCACAATAGAAGAAGTAGCTAACAAGAAGCTAATATTTACCTTAAGATGAGCATATTAAATTCAATATGATGATGTGAATCATCATGAACAGCAGCGGCAAGAGCTGCAAAAATCAAGATGGCATTGAGAAGACAAGAAAGAAAAAGCTTCTTAACAAGGAGGTGGCCATATTCAAGCAGAGGCATTGAGAAATGCTGACCTTAGCCAGCATGAGTTTGTAGCATATCCATCATAACTGAGTAGATAAATAATAAATGTGCAGACAAATAATAAATAAGAGTAAGGAACAAAAAGGATGAAAAATATGCAGATTTTAGAAGTTATTTTGCATGAAGGCAATAATTGTGTGTGTATGTATGTGTGTAGCATGAGAGATATAGTTAGAGGGGTGGGCTGGTCTGCATCATATAACACCTGGTCTAAAAAAAATCTTGTTCATGCATTAGTTACAAGCAGAGTTGATCACTGTAATGCTCTTCTTACTGGCCTTCCTAAGAAAGCAGTACATTCTTTACAACTTGTACAAAATGCAGCAGCATCCTAAAAAAACCAATACAGAGAGATCAGATCACTCCCATTTAGAAAAAACTGCACTGGCCGTCTGTATCATTCAGGATAGATTTTAAAGTTCTGCTACTAGTTTTTAAGGCTCTAAATGACCTTAAAGCACTGCTTACATCACAGAGTGTCTGTCTGTTTATGTTCCAGCATGTAACCTAAGATCTGCAGATACTGACTCAATTCCACCTTCTATGAGTCAATCTCAGTTCACATGTTTTTAAAAATAAAGATTATTATTATTATTATTATTATTATTATTATTATTATTAAAGGTTGAAGCTTGGAAAAACAGGAAGAACAAAAAACAGGAACTCATATTACAAAATCACAGAAATAAAATTTTATTAATAAAATCACATAAATGAGCTGCTCCAAAACAACAAATGGCAATATAGTGACAGCAGAGGGTTACAGTTAAGCTGTATTAAATTTAAGCTGTGTTTAATTTCAAAAGAGATTTTTTTTATTTAATTAATATTGCTTATGAAACAAATTTTGATTATCTTGGACAACCTTTAAGCCTTGTTAGAATTTATAATATTACCTCAAAAGTACCATTAGAAAGTAGGAAAATCAAACATATCATTAATAGAGCAGGCCTTTTTCATGTGGATAGATGTTTAAAACTGAGGTAGCTAACAGAAAAAGTAGATCTTAAAAAAGAAACTGAGCAAGAGAAAAGTGGACAGGTGTCCTTTTGTTTTTATGCATCAAAGATTTAGCATTCTCTGCACAAGCAACTAGCAAAAAGTGCTCAATATATCTGTTGTTACTGCACACAGTTTAAAAGAAAACATCAATTAACATAGCTGGGTTTGCATGCATCACTTTGTATTGGCTGTATTTCTATTAATGTATGTTGCAGGAGGACAAATCAGCAAACAGATTTCCTAAACAGGTAGACCTTTAGTGATTTTCTGCAAATGTGTGTGTGTGTGTGTGTGTGTGTGTGTGTGTGTGTGTTTATTAAGATAAAGTAACTCACTGTAGTTTCTCCAGTTTACAGTGTGGATCCTTTAGTAGATCAGAGAGCAGCTTCAGTCCTGTCTCTCCTGGTTGACTGTAGTTCAGATTCAGCTCTCTCAGGTGTGAGGGGTTTGATTTCAGAGCGGAAACCAGAGCAGCAAAGACTTCCCCTGTAATAGTGGAATTATACAATCTGCAGAGAGAAGAAAAACTTCTCACACTTACAGCTCAGCACACACATAAAACAAAAAGGAAAGGAAAAAATAATATGTAACTTCAAACAGTCTACATACATATATGTGTACACACACACATGCATCAGAGTTTGAGTCAAGACCAAGACCTGCACTGTGTTTATCCCCTACAAAATGTAACATCATATTTTGATGCTACACTGACTTATAACAGAGATAATGGTGTCTTTGTCATTGCCACTCTGGGCCTGGAACATCTGCTATAGTGCTTTGTAACTTTGGAAGAGTAGTACGAGAACCTCTCACACAAACTATGTAATGCTTTACAGCACCACATCACATTTCAAAATTATGGCTCTTCAGCTAGCAATAAGAGGAAGCTAGCTCAGTTTTCCCAGCATGGACATCATGGCTGAGGCTGCCAAAAGACCAAAGAATACAATGTCAGAGGAAGTAAGAAAGAGAAAAAGGGAGTGACAGAGTAAAGCTCTGTATCTGTAGGGGGAGCACAAGAGCAAAAAAATACTAATTCTAACATAATGCTGCTTTTAATGGAAATTGTGGTGCAATAAACACTTGTGTTACTCAAATGTTGCAGCTTTGTGAAGGACATTTTTAGCATTTTTCTAGCTTTTTTGTAAAAAAAAACATTTTTTACAATGTAATACTTATTACAAAAATGTCTTTTAACATATTCAGTGTGGTATGCACCAAGCTGCAGGAACATCATTTTTAAAGGACTTTATTACAATCCATTGTGCACCCAGAAACCATAGCAAAATGGTGCACAATATTTTGAGACTGTCAAAGTGAACTAGAGCTTTTTGTAGTTTTACTCTCTTAAGCCTGACATCCTGATAACCTCATTGCTTGAATCCGCAGAAGCTTTTGTGGTTGTTTCTCCTGGCCACAAGTTGTGAAGGTTTGGAAACCCCAAATGCAGAAGGAGGATTGTTTTATTCTGTTCATTCTGGTTTTGTTGATATTCAATAACAATTCTGTTTTCAGTTACTTTAAATGGACGTATCACACTTAGCTGGTCTCAACAATAGTTTCTGAGTCCACCTTACCCTGACACAAGAGACAAGACCAAGTCTAAATGAGGTTGAGGCAGAGAGTGTTACTTTATGGTCTTAAAACTGGTCATATCACTAATTACCTGTTTGTGTTTGGAAACTATCAATAAATCTGTATAAAACAGTGCAGTAAAACATTAATGTAAATACTCACACAACTTTTCTGGAGGCTTTAGCTACTGGAAGCAGCCTCAGAAGACATTTTTCGGATGGGACAAATTTATTGAGGTCAAACTCATCCATCTCCTCTTCTGAATTCAGCATCACAAACGCTACAGCTGACCACTGAGAAGGAGAGAGCATAGCTCCCGTGAGACCACTGGAACCTTTTTTGTTTAGGCATGCTTGGACTTCCTGCACCAGAGAATGATCATTCAGTTCATTCAGACAGTGGAACAGACTGATTGTTTTCTCTGGAGAGGAATTCTCCCTGATTTTCTGCTTGATGTACTGGACTGTTTCCTCTTTGCTGTGAGAACTGCTTCCTGTCTGCATCAGTAGGCCTTGTAGGAGAGTCTGATTGGACTCCAGTGAGAGGCCCAGAAGGAAGCGGAGGAAAAGGTCCAGATGTCCATTCTCACTCTGTAAGGCCTTGTCCACTGCACTCTTAAGAAAGTCTGACATTGTTGAATTTTTGACAAAAGCAAAACCTCCAATGTCTGGCTGTAACAGCACATTTATGTTGTTGTAGAAGAAGGATAGAAATGCATATAAAGCAGCCAGAAACTCCTGAATGCTCAGATGAACAAAGCTGAAAACTTTCCCCAGTTGCAGCCCAAACTCCTCTCTGAAGATCTGGGTACACACTCCTGAGTACACTGACACTTCTCTGACATCAATGCCACACTCTCTCAGATCGTCCTCATAGAAGATCAGGTTGCCTCTTTCAAGCTGTTGGAAAGCCAGTTTTCCCAGAGCCAGAATAATCTTTCTTGTCTGTTCATTATCACTGTCACTTTTTTGGTTGTACTTTTGGTTGCTATGTTTGATCTGAAACACAAGAAAGTGTGTGAACATTTGAGTTAGAGTCTTGGGGGTCTCTCCACTCTCTGCTTCACCCAACACTCTCCCTAGAGCATTGGCTGCAATCCAACAGAAGACTGGGATGTGGCACATAATGTAGAGGCTTCTAGATGACTTCATGTGTGTAATGATTCTATCAGCAAGTCTCTGATCACTGATCCTTTTCCTGAAGTACTCCTCTTTCTGAGGGTCACTGAACCCTCGTAGCTCTGTTACCTGGTTAATACAGTCAGGAGGGATCTGATTGGCTGCTGCTGGTCGAGTGGTTATCCATAGGAGAGCAGAGGGAAGCAGATTCCCTTTGATGAGGTTTGTCAGCAGCACATCCACTGAGACTGACTGTGTTACATCACATAAGTTTTCATTGTTCTCGAAATCTAGAGGAAGTCGACACTCATCCAGTCCATCAAAGATGAACACAACATTATAATGATAATACTCTGTAGGTTTTAATTCCCTTGTAACTGCGAAAAATTCATAAAGAAGAGCCAACAGACTGATTTTTTTCTTTATCAAATTCAGCTCTCTAAAAGGAAGTGGAAATATGAAGAGGACATCCTGATTTGCTTTTCCTTCAGCCCAGTCCAGAATGAATTTCTGCACAGAGACTGTTTTTCCAATTCCAGCAACTCCTTTAGTCAACACAGTTCTGATAGATTTATTTTTAAAGATATCATTGCATTTGATGGATATCTCCTGTGTTGCTGGTCTCCTGGATGCTGTCTCAATCTGTCTGACCTCATGCTCATTATTGACCTCTCCACTGCCTCCCTCTGTGATGTACAGCTCAGTGTAGATCTCATTCAGAAGGAGTGAGGTTCCAGGATTTGAGATTCCTTCATGAATTTTCTGAAACCTGTCCCTGAGTGTGGATTTCAGCCTTTGATGGCAAAGAGGAGCCAGCTCTAATAAAAAAGAAGAAGAAGCAATTAAAAAATAAATAGATGAAATGGTCAATTCTTATTCTGTTTTAGAATTTGCCACAAACACAGCATAACACATTATGGTTTCATCTATAAAACTGATAGTTCTTCAGCTGTGATGAATATAATTATGATTATATCATCGTAATTTAAATTCTTCAAATTACTTTGCATAGTAAGTAATCACATCATCCCGATCTCTTACTAGTCTGTAGCATGTTAGCGAGGTCTGTCTGGTTCATGTTCCTCAGGATGTGCAGTGTGATCTTCAGCACCCCCTCTCTGACACTGCTCTGATCCTCCTCATCCTCCACCTCTCTCTCAGAGCATGCTGGATAATCCAGACTTATTAGCTTCACAAACTTCTTCAGCTGATTCTTCACAATGGAGATGACTTTGTGCTCCAGCTCCTGATTAAAAGTAAATGGTAATTGAAAAAGGGTCTTGTTGGTGAGTGCAAAGTGGTCTGCAATGATATTACTGTTTCATTAGATGAAAAAGATAGTTAGAATAAATTATTTATACCTTAACTCAGTATAATATTTTCAGGTTATATTTCATACAATTCACGTGTTCATGAATGCTTATGATGCAAACGTGGTTTAATCCTAAATATAAAGCATTTAGAGAAAAAGTTCTACATCTATATGTTAGCAAGCAAATAAACATTGCATATGTTGTGGGTGGGAGTCCTCTGCCTTTGCTTCTCTGCCTTTTGGCTAAGATCAGGTGTAGTATCTATTCTTATCAGTTTGATATCTGATATGTTCTCTTTATGAGGACTATATATTAATGCAATGACAACACTGACTTTCTCAACACACACAATACCTACTTTAGCCGGTTTGAGGAAAAGAACACTATCACAGTAACAAAAGCCCCTCTCAGTCCGGACAATGAAGTACTCTGTCTCGACCCAGCTAATGTCTGGAGGACCTTACAAAGGGTCAACCCACGGAAAGCTGCAGGTCCTGACAACGTACCAGCGTATTCAGAGAAAGTGCTGACCAACTGACACCCATCCTCAAAGACATCTAACCTCTCCCTGAGCCAAGCCATCATTCCCTCATGCTTCAAAGCTGCTACTATCACACCACTGCCAAAGAAGTCACCAGCATCAACACTCAATGACATAGAACTCACTCCCATCATGACGAAGTGCTTTGAAAAGCTTGTTTAGAAATCATACAATATCCAGACTCCTGACAACACTCGACCCACTCCAGTTTGTGTACTGTCCTGAGCGCTCCGCTGATGATGCTATATCAGCAGCACTCCAGTCTGGCCCATCTGGAGAATAAGAACAGTTAGGTGTGGATGCTCCTCATTGACTTCAGCTCTGCCTTCAATACAGTCATCCCCAGGCACTTGGTAAGAAAATGCCCATTAGGCATTGACACCTCGCTGTGCAACTGGTTACTCGACTTCTTCACAGAAAAAGCCCAGACAGTATGAGTTGGAATAAACACCTCTAAAACCATCATCTTGAACACTGAAGTTCCCCAGGACTGTGTGCTGAGCCCTCTGTTGTTCACCTTGATGACTCATGACTGTTGTGCCAAGTACCACTGAAACCAAATTAAGTTTGCAGATGATACAACAGTGGTGGGCCTCATCAGCAATGGTGGCGATAAGAGTCCAGTGTCAAGTTTACATTTCTTGTAACACTGTGCAATAATACTATCACAAATAACAATGTGCGATATTTCTTCTATATCACATGCAATATTTATATTTTTCCCCTATTTTTATGTCTGTCTATGCTGTCTAGTATTTCTTTGTGCAGTTGTCTTTATGTTATTTATGTATATTTTGCACATCGGAGTTGGAGTGCACTCCTTGTTGTATAGTCTGAATGACAAATGGGGGGCCAACTTTCCGGTTCCGGTGCGCTTTCTGGTTCTGGTGTGCTGTAGAATGGCTGCACTGGTGAGAGCTACAGGTAAACTCTACAGTTTTTTGTATTTCATTGTCCTATTTCTTAGTGTTTTTGCACATACTGCACTTAGGAGCATTCAATATGATCGACAAACTCTTTTAAACATCAGATCATTGCTCAAGACGAACTCTATCACAAACACTCACAGTTGCGATCGGCTACTAGTATACGGCTTGTCTGCCTCTCTGTTAGCAAATTTTCAATCACTGGAGAGCTGAATGCATGAATCAAATTTCAGTGTGACATCAAACAAAGGCATCACACCAGCTGGCTTCTCCATTTACCGTCAGGACGGACCTCTGGACTCTGGTAAGGGCAGTGGCGGCAGGGTATGTGTTATGGTCAATGTTCAACCTTCTTTTCTGCCCAGAGACTTCTACATCCCTTCTCAGGCACATAAGTCACACGCATTTGAAGTTTTGTACAAGACCATCAATGGACTTGAGAACACTCACCCTGAGGGTGTTTTTATTGTGGTTGGGGATTTTAACAGGGCAAACTTGAAAAAGGTCCTATACAAATGCTACCAGCACATTAAATTTCCCACTCAAGGAGAATAGACTCTTGACCATGGTTACAAACCCCCGTTGCCACCTTCAGCAAAGCTGATCACACATCCATTCTTCTCCTGCTTGTAAAAACAAACAAACAAAGATTTAAACAAACGAAAACAGTTCTCAGATCATTCTATCAATGGAGTGAGGAGGCCAACTTCACACTTCAAGACTGCTTTAAATCTACAGACTGAAAAATGTTTTGTAAAGCAGCTGTCACCGACATCAATGAATACACTCCATCACAAGATACATCAATAAATGCACTGATGACATAGTACCAAACATCAATATCAGAACATTTCCCAGTCAGAAACCCTGGATCAATGCTGAGGTTCAAGCCAGCTGAGGTTCAACCTACAACTCAGGCCAGATATGACCTTCAGAGGACCATCACGCTGGCCAAAAGGAACTACAGGGACATCAATTCCTGAATCAAATCTAAATATCTTGGCTCTGATCCCAGATGTATGTGGAGCAGACAGCACTCTGACTATAAAGGAGGTACGATTCGTGATAGGGGGTAGTCCTCACTTGCAGATGAGCTAAATGCACATTATGCTCATTTTGAAGCAAATAACACCTCTCCTGCTGAAAAATTCTGAGTAGATCAGAGAAGCTGCCCTCTAACCATTGCCCTGTCTGAGGCGGTCAGATCCTTCAGGGCAGTTATGCAAGGCATGTGGTCCTGACGGCGTCCACGGTCATATATTTAGAGCATGTGCCAACCAGCTGGTTGAGGTTTTCACTAACATCTTTAACCTCCAAAGACTGCCAAAGATTCACACACGCTTTAGGGAAACCTTAATTGCTCCAGTTCCCAAAAAACTGGCCTGGTCACCTGCCTGAATGACTACCACCCTGTTGCACTGACATCAACAGTTATGAAGTGCTTCAAGCAGCTGGTCAAAGCTCACATCTGTTCAACACTTCCAGCCACCATGGACTACCACCAATTTGCATACCTCTCCAACATATCCATATATGATGCCATGAGCTCATGACTCTGAGATGACACAGAACACAGAAACAGCCTAGAGAGAAGAGGTCAGTGCTCTGACAGAGTGGTTCCAGGACAGCAATCTCTGTCTCAACATGAGAAAAACAAAGGAGATGATTGTGGACTACAGCAAGCTGCAGAGTAATGGTTCTCCCCTATACATCAATGGAGCAGAATCGGAGAGAGTCACCACTGTTAACTTCCTTGGTGTACACCTCACTGATGACTTCACCTGGTCCCACCACACCAACACAATTGTGAGATATGCCTTTCAGCATCTCGTCTTCCTGTGTAGGCTCAGGAAGTTTGGATTGCCTCCTGACATGTAGAATGTAAACTCACTGGGCGGAAGGAGGCGGAGCTTGTGCGGAAGGTTGAGAGTTACCAACTAGATATAGTTGGGCTCACCTCCACCCACAATGTTGGCTCTGGAACCAAACTCCTTGATAGGGGTTGGTCCCTCTCCTAATCAGGAATCGCACAGGGCTCAGGGTGAGAGGCAGGTGTGGGAATACTCACGAGTCCCCGGCTGGCTGCTATGCAGTTGGAGTTTGTCCCGGTGGACAAGAGGTTTGCCTCAATGCGAATTATCACTAGGATGAAAACTCTGACTGTTGTGTGTGCTTATGCACCAAACAACAGTTCAAAGTATTCAGCATTCTTGGACTGAGTGGGTGGGGTTCCACCTACAGACTCCATAATCTTGCTGGGAGACTTCAGTGTTCATGTTGGCAATGACTGAAAGGTGAATTGTTATCAAACTTCTGTGCTAGGCATGGATTGTCCATAGCAAACACCAAGTTCAAACACAAGGATGTTCATAAGTATACATGGTACCAGAACTCCTTGGGTCAAAGGTCAATGATTGACTTTGTTGTCATTTCATCTGACTTGGGATGATATGTTCTGGACACTTGGGTGCAGAAAGGTGCTGTGCTGTCAACCATTCACCATCTGGGGATGAGTTGGATCAGATGGCAAGGAAGATTGATGGTCAGACCTGGTAGGCCCAAGTGAATAGTGAGGGTGTGCTGGGAATGACTGTCAGAGGCCCCTGTTTGGAATGATTTTAACTCCCACCTCCAAGAGAGCTTTTCACATGTTGTGGAGGAGGTAGGGGACATGGAGTCTGAAAGGACTCTGTTCAAAACCTCCATTGTGGAAGCTGCCAGGCGTATCTGTGGCCAAAAGCTTGCTGGTGTCTGTCAGGACAGTAACCCAAGAAACCCCTGGTGGACACCGGTGGTAAGGGAGGCCATCAAGCTGAACAAAGAGGCCTTCAGGTACTGATGGCCTGGAGGAATCCCGACTCAGCAGGTAGTCACTGACAGGCAAAAAAGGCGGCAGTGGCAACAGTGGCAGAAGTAAAATCCATGGCATGGGAGGAGTCCGAAAAGACTTTCAGTCAGCTTCAAGGAGGTTCTGGACAACTATCATATTTGGCAGGGTGGGAGAAACTCTGACTTTGGATGAGGATATTGTTGGTAGGTGGAAGGAACAATTTGAGGAACTCCTTAATCTGAGAGACATGCCTCCGTCACAGGAGTCAGGGCCAGAGGCTTCTGGCATGTCAGGCTCCATTTCCCTAGTGGAGGTCACTGAGGTAGTTGGCAAGCACCTCAGTTGCAAGGCACCGGGAGTAGATGAGTTTCGCCCGGAAATGCTTAAGGCTCTGGATGTTGTGGGGCTGTCGTGGCTGATTCACCTCTGCAATATGGCATGGATGTCAGGAGCAGTACCCTTGGACTGGCAGACCGGGGTGGTGGTCCCTATTTTTAAGTAAAGGGGACAGGAGGGTGTGTGTGAACTACCGGGGTATGGCACTGCTCAGCCTCCCTGGGAAAGTTTATGCCAAGCTGCTGGAGATTTAGATGGTCCGATTGTCAAACCTGAGATCGAGGAGGAACAATTCGGATTCTGTCCCAGCCACGGAACAATGGACCAGCTTTTCACCTCAGCTTGTTGAGGGGTCATAGGAGTTTGCCAACCCAGTCTACATGTGTTTTGTGGAGAAGGCATATGACCATATTCCCCAAGATGTTTTGTGGGAGGTCCTCTGAGAGAATGGGGTGCCGGGGCTATAACTCTGAGCCATTCAATCTCTGTACTTCCGGAGTGAGAATTGTGTTCGTATACTCGGCATTGAGTGAAACTCGTTCTGTGTTTGTGTTGGACTTCACCAAGGTTGTCTCCACTCCTGTTCAATGTATTCACATGACCCACAGGACGCAGTTGTTCGGTGGCAGTGACATTGAGGTGTTTAAACCTCACCTATGGTCATGAGCTATGGCTCTGGACTATCTGTAATAAGCGTTTAATGATGATGATGACATTTACTAATATATATATATATATATATTGTTTATATGTTTTTTTTTTTGCTTGTTTCGTTTTGTTTGCACTACTCATAGTATAGATAATTCTGTTCTATTGTAGGACATCTGTAACCACAAGCAGTTAATTTGTGTAGTGTGTAGGTCGTAATACTTTTGTCTGTATAGGGTACAATTTTTATAAGATTGATACTGTTAAAAATCATAAATAAGAATCCAAAAATTTGATGCCTGTTTAATTAAGAGTTGCAACCCTACCTTGAATATGGACTCCATATTTTCCCTTGTCTCTTTTTGGTCTCTGTTGGCAAACACAAAATTGTAGATAGCACATGGTGAAGAACCTGAACAGAACTTTAAATACACCATCACACGTTACAGGTTCATATAAAATATTTCCATCAACATATGGTTCTTAAAACCTTCACCTTTAGCTTAACCTATAAGTTAACATTTCCATTTTGGGTGACACTGCATTGTGAGATATTCAAAAATCTGTATCAGAATACATTTTTAAAGTAACTTATCTAGCCCTGATCACAAAACAGGTAGGGGAGAGTGTGTGTACATATGTGTTTAGATATCAGCTGGAAGGAAAGAGATTCAGGTGTGAAATTGGTTTATTCCCCTGATTCAGTTTTCTTCTCCAGTTCAGGAGAACCAAAGCACTGCACAGTGCAGTGTTTACCTGCTCTAACACATCTCACTCACCTGCTGAGATTAATCAGGAGGAACTGGAAGGGAGATTTCTCAACACCATTCTTACGTAAAACTGCCTTTACCTGAGCTCAGTAGAATGGTTCTCCTGTCTGATGAATAGTGGAGGGCTCATTGACCGGTCACTCTTCACGGACACATGGCTGGGTTCAGGTGAGTCTGGTCTTTCTCTCCAGTTCAGACTGAAACTTACAAATGAAGTGATGTTAGAGTCATAATTGCAGAAAACGCATTCAAGATGCATTCAAGATTTTTGGAAAGGTCTAAAATCATGGCTCGGTGATGCACTGGAGCCTTACTTAGCATGACCCCTCCCCTCATATTATAACAGTATATAAACTAGAGCCAAACTTAGCATGACCCCTCCCCTAACAGTATAACAGTATAAAACTAGAGCTATGCTTAGCGTGACCCCTCCCCTGACACTGTAACATTATAAAAACTATAGCAATGCTTAGCATGACCCCTCCCCTAACACTATAACAAAGCTCCAAACAAAAAAATAGCTTGAGGAGCCACTGGCTCCTAAAATAAAAAAACAGGTGCTAATAGCCTTTTTAAAGTGCCAAATAATAATATAATAATATGCAGGAAAATTAAGCTTTTCAACACACATCAGGCAAGCTCTATAATTTAAGGGGTACTTCACCGATTTTTCAAATTTTCTGCATAATTAAACGGTTAACATGTCAACAAGTTCATGCAGAGTGGTTTGGTATGAAACGCTTTGTTCTAAAGAGACTTACAGAGAGAATTGTTCCCAGTGATGATGATAGAAGCCGAACATCTAAGGAGTTAAATGTTTCTAAAAGCTTCTGCCCAGAAAGATATTATGTGCAATGGTTATGAATACCCTGCCTCATGTTTGAGACATTGTTTTACAGTAACTTTGTGACAAAGCTTTTGTTTAATGTATTTTAATCAATTAATTTTACTCTGTTCATGGTGGAGGGATACATGAAAGGTATTCTAAGGCAAAATAGTCCCCAAAGAATTTTTAGATTTACCATTGTTTTACCATCATCAATGTTACATATCAACTCAGAAGACATGTGTAGGTTCACTGGTGGTTTTGGATAGTAAGTAAAATGGCTACATTTGTATTGTAGTGCTTTAAGGTGGACGGTTCTTCAGGTACATCTTCATGAGCGTCTTTCACTGGTTCACTGGTCCTGTGAGTCCAGTGTTGAGCAGATGACTCTTAAGGTCTGACAGAGACGTAGATTGCTTCACCATAATTCTCCAGAGGCCCCGCTGTGAAGGGCAGAACTCCATGTCATCAGCCCACCAGATGGCGGTTCTCATCCTCCATGAATCAAGCAATAAGGCACACCCACTTCAGGCATATGGTTCAGTCTCAGCGCTGTTGTACTCTGTCCCCTTTTTAATTTAAACCTAGTTCAGTCATTCCACTACACTCTGCTCTCTGAACAGTTGATACTGCTTAAAAAGGCTATTCTCAGCCAGCTCTTGTATGTTTCTCAGATCAGTGTTGTGTTTCTACTTTTTAAGCAGATTTATTAATCTATTGTTTAGTGCCTATTAATCACACAATGGTTAACCATTCCCTGGTTACAGGTAAAGCTGAACCTGAGTAAAGCTCAAAGTAAGTTATGCTTATAGAATAACTGTGAAATAAGTAAATTAAGTGGCGAGAACTGCATGAAGTAAAGAATTTTCTGACTGTGCTTTCCTCAATTATCGAGTCACCCACTAGAAAATTTAAGTCTTAAAATATTTGCCCTTCAAGAATGCTGGAGTTTAGAGAAAAATTAGCAGCATGTTTTCTACTCATTCTTCAGTGTTGTCACTCTTACCTGAGCTCAGTAGAGCTGTTATCCTCTCTGAACTTTATTATTCTGTCCACTGACTCGTCACTCTTCATGGACACACAGCTGGGTTCAGGTGAGTCAGATCTCTGACCCTGAACCAGTCTAGAACAAAAACAGTATCAGACATGATCTACAAACGTTCCTGCATGTTGGTGTAGATGAGAACAAACTTGCTTTACACCAAACCACATGGTTCTCTCACCTCTCAGCTTTCTGTGTGTCCTGTTCCTCAGAGGAGCTCATTTTGGAGGTCATACCTCCTCCTTCAGATTAAACCTAATCCTGTAATCACACACACAGTCAGGTCTCCTTAATTGCGTCTCCTGAAAGTCTTTGTCTGAAATATCTCTCTGTGTACAGTTCAGTTGTTTTCTGCTCTCTCTGTGTCTGAAATGTCTTTAGTCCAGTCAGAAATTCAGTAATTACCCCTGTATCTTTTCTTCAAGAGCTGTTCTTCATTCTCTCTTTACAAAACAGACACTGCTGAAGGTTTCACTTCAACTTAAACTAGTCGGACTGGATTTGTTTATCACTGCAGGAGAAGGTGGATTTTTTTTCAGGATGAAGAGGGTGGAGTGATGTGCACTTTGACCAATCACACGGCTCTCTTTTGTGACTGGACTGAATAGGTGGGACTAAGCCAAATAGTCAGACTTCACAGAAAATAAGCGGCATTAAGAGCGTCCTCTGTTTGATCCAGTTTTCCACATTTCAAGCATGATTCAGCTCCATGGTATTTTGCTTGCTTTTTAACTCTTGCTTGTTGTTGTATCTTAGCTGCATGTTTATGACTGATATCAGCAAGACACTCCTTTCACACACGACCTTTGAGATCCGTCACTCTCTCACACTCACACGTTGCTGTACACAACTCACACATTTCATTCACCCCAGTGACCCTGTCCCTTCATTCACTGTGCAGCTGAAAGAATGGGTGCAGACAGAGCACCTCATCAAATTCATACAGAGAGCTCTGATACATGATTCACATTTGTTCACACTTTTAGTGTGACACATTCTGATTCTGGCATAAATTCAATACCAATATATCGCACACATACACACATTCTAAGCCGCTTCTCTTTCAGGGTCACGGGGGGTGTTGGAGCCTATACCAGCTGTCATTTGGCGGAAGGCAGGATACACCCTGGACAGGTTGCCAGTCCATCGCAGGACAGACTCTATATATATCAGTTATATTGAAATGAAATCTCACTAAAACCCAGGACAATCTTAGTGGTTTGAGGATAATCTCATTTAAATCCAGTATAAATGTATTTTTATTAGTAATGTATTACTATTATGTAACTATTTATTTGGGCATATGCAAGTCCCAGTAGCTCACATCTGACATTACAGTAGCTGGCCTGATTTATTCAGGATTTAGGCCACTTATTTACTGTGTTCCCAACATACATCATACTTAGATGACATTTAGTCTCTGTTATGTCCTATATTAAATCATATGCACTCTCTGTCTGCATGATTTGGCTTTGATGAACTTTGTCACTTCATATTGCTACCGATAAGCTGATTTCACTGAAAGAAGCTGAATGTGATTTCAATATCAGCAGATGAGTCAAATGATCATTGTCCACTGAAGGCTAGACTTTCAGCAGAGGCCACAATTTGTGTCAACATCAAAACTACTACTAACTCTGTTACAGGCCTGTCAGAAGTGCTGCAGAACGGCTGGTTAAACATGACGTTTCTGCAGTGTTGTTTGTACCCGTGGCAGTATTTTCTGGACTTTATTCAAATTGAAATGCAGATTTGAAAACGCTCATTTAATTCTGTATTTAAAATTGCATTTTCAATGTGAGAGTGCATTATTTAAGACATGATTCAAATTCATATGCAAAATGGTTATTTGCACTTGCATTTCTGTGTTTAATGGCTAGACAAAAAGTTAAAGTGGAAAAGGAAAGTGCTTTTGACGTTTAATTTTCATTGTCTTAGTGGTCTGACTCACTGATTTATTAACAAATGAAAAGTAATCTCAGATTTACAGCTGCAATCTGGTTTACAACTGCATTTTCACTGTCAGTGAGGCTTCCCGTCAATCATATGCTGTGCTGTGTGGTTGGTAAGCAACATCAAGGGTTAAACCAGTAAAATGTATTTAAACATTTAACTTCAGTTCAAACTGCTGCTTTACTTTAGTTGCTAATAATAGCAGCAGAGCTCACTGTTATCTTACGCTCTAATTCCCCTAGATGGACATTCAGAAATGGAGGAAGTCTGTCTCAAATGAAACATCTGAGGCAAAGTTCTGCCTCCTCAGCCGAGTAAAGCAGGTCAGTAATGCTGGTCTTACATATTTAATGTGTGAGTTCACTGAAATCTAAATAACACCAGTGTTTATGGAGTAGTACAGTGTCATGAGGTCACAGATCAGCCTGATGTTCATTTGGTACAGGATTATCACTCAACTGTAGCTCTAACACAGAGAATTTCTCTTTATTTGGTGATGGTGCCCTGTTTATGTACCATGTCTGTTCACTGTGAAAGCAGAGTGTCAGCCTTTCTAGTGATTGTAGTCACGTAAGTGAAAAGTGACCCGCTTCACCCACAAGGAGGCGCTGTTGTATAAGATAAACAGAGGCTTTGGTGCTGGTGGACTTGTAGTTAAAGCCTGTGATGAGTCTTAAACAGTAGTGTAGACTTCATTACTGCTTGAAGGTGATGTGTTAATTCTCTAGACTACTTAAACTGCTGTGGTGTTTATTTCACTCTAGTTTATTTCAGACCACACAAGCTAATGAATGAGTGCAGCTCTGAGCCGTGAGCTGCTGTGCTGTGTTGGAAAGTTCTCAGCTTGGATAAATAAAGGCTTTGGAGCAGCATCAGTGGATCTCTCCTCTCACAGTCCTTTAACTGCCTGACAGTTCAGTAGTTTATTCTCAAAGGTTCCTCACACTGGTTCTCAGTTCCAGCCCTGAATACTCTACAGTCCTCATACTTTTGTAGTCTTAGTCTAACACACTGGACTAAACCCATGAAGGGCTTTAGAATTACCTGATGAGTTTAATGAGGGATGATACACTACGACTACGAAGCAGCACTAAAGTAAGAAGTGAAACCAGCCCCCCACAGCCCACCCAGCTGAACACAAACAAGCAGTTTTAAGCAGTAAACAGTCAGACAGAGAGAGAGAGAGCAGTGGGGTGAAACTCAGATTTGCATGAACAGGCCTGAGTCGTCCTCTTTCTCCCAGAATAGAGCAGCACTTTCACCAGATGTTCAGCTTAATTCAGCCAAACTCCCTCAAGATCAACACACAGCACTGCACTGAATCTACAGCTGAACTCCCTCTCTAACAACACTGACCATCACCATTCATTACAGTAAAGAACTCAGACTAAACTCAAAAGAACTGGAAACTCTGCAGCAGCACTAATGCATTCTAGCACTGGAGAACATTTACTGGTTCCTCTTTACACAGTGGAACAACTAGAACTTTCCTAACTCATAATCTAACTAACATCAGATGAAGTGTCATAAAAACAGTTCAAACCTCTCATTAAAACCTGTGAATGTCTTCATACAGGAGAATCTCACTGACCTCAGACAAGCTGATCATCATGATCTGTAACTGATAATGAGATGATTAAATGAATCTCCTGTTTAAATAGAATAAAAGTCTCTTTTCACAGTGAGTTTGGTTCCTCCACTGAAAGTGAACCACAGTGATACATTTCAGTGAAGTCATTGTACATAAACCTCCATCACTCATCACTGTTTACCCTGAACTCTTCTACACTCATCAACTATTTATGACCTTTAGAAATGAACGTCTGACACTGAATTAACAGAACTGAGCTAATACTTTATAATCATATCTAAATAATCATATGTGTTTATTATAGAGGTGTTTGGTGAGTCCATTTCCATAGAGGCTCCACTTTGCATTATCAGCCCATGCTTCAGTGCTCTGCTAGTGTTTATAGTCCTGTGAGTTTAACACTTCATGACTGAGAGCTGCTGCCCCACAAACTTCACCCACAGCAACCATGACTTTGGTCTCCATCTTCATCTGGACACTGACCCTCTGGACTCAAGGTAACTCACTCATTTAACTTTGTGAGTAAATCAGCTTATATGAATATTACTAACTTTAGATGCATTCTTTATTTATTTTTTTGTACATATTTAAATTATTTTATTTTATTTCATTAATTGAAATATTATTTCTTTCAGGATCCAGTGGTCAGGTGACTGTGACTCAGACTCCTGCAGTGAAAACTGTTTCTCCAGGAGACTCAGTTACCATCAGCTGTAGAACCAGCACTGCAGTGTATAATAATAACTTTCTAGCCTGGTATCAGCAGAAACCTGGAGAAGCTCCTAAACTCCTGATCTACTGCTAACAGTAGACAGTCAGGTGTTCCAGATCGATTCAGTGGCAGTGGATCTGGATCTGACTTCACTCTGACCATCAGTAATGTCCAGACTGAAGATGCAGGAGATTATTACTGTCAGAGTTTTCATGTTATCAGTGGTAGCTACGTGTTCCCACAGTGTTTAGTAGGTGTACAAAAAGCTCCCTCAGTCAGCTGCACAGAGACTGCACTGCTGCAGCTGGACTCTACTGCAGGTGCTGAGGGGGAGGATGGACACACACAATAACACACTCTGTGGAAATCAGGACTTTAGATGGAATTTGTTCTTCTTTTCATTAGACTGTAAATGCTTTGTGATTTTAGGGATTTATTTCCTGATCTCCACAGGTCTGGAACTAGCTGTAGAGTTCAGCTAGAGTCTCATTTATTATAAAGTTTATTATAAGGATCTGGACAGATTATGAAATGGATGTTTCTCTCAGTCCTGAGAAAGAGGGAGTCCCTGAAGAAATCCTTCAACTAACTCAGACTCATCAGTTTTTATTAGGAGATCATATTCAGAGGTGAGTGTAGTATGAAAGTAGTTCTGTTCAAACTAATTACCTCACGTGTTAACAAGTAGTTTAATTGCTTTTATTAAATATTTTATGCTGTAGAAAATTTATTTGAGTAAAAGACTAAAACCAGTTCAGTTGCTTGTTTCCACATGAAGACATTCAGGCTCTTCCAATAATATTCAGACCCAGACATTAAGTTTAGGTCTTTACTGAAAACACTGTTAAACTGAAAAACAACATTCTAAAAATATGTAAACAGAATGTCTGTTATAAGCTTTAAATATCTGTGTTTAAGTCAGAGCTGCTATTAAATTTGAATGTGCGCCACCGTTAGCTTGGTGCTAACATTACATTGCAAACACTGTAGAGGTGCTAATCTCACAATGTAGACTTTTTCATGTAGTTTGATTCAAATTGATCCTGTAGACTAAACATCTACAACATTTCACTGAAGTATCAACACTTTTACTTGAGTCTGATTTTAAGCTGCTCTTTCACTCTCAACTCCTTTCACACTACACGACTCACACTGTTGTTCTGTGTTCCTACAGTGCAGAACTTCCCAAGAGTCTAACTGGATCCACCTTGGGGTCTGACTCCAAAGTCGGAGATCACAAAGCAGTACAGATGCTTTGGTAACACTT